TAAAAGAACAGCTTGCTATATTTCATGCTTAAAAGAACAATCTGCTATATTTTATGTCTTATAAGAACAATCTGCTCTATTTCATGTTTAAAAGAACAATCTGCTATATTTCAAGTTTAAAAGAACAATCTGCTATATTTTATGTCTTAAAAGAACAATCTGCTATATTTTATGTCTTAAAAGAACAGTCTGCCCTATTTTATGTCTTACAAGAACAGCTTGCTATATTTTGTGTCTTACAAGAGAGAGAGAGAGAAATGGGGTTTAACATCCACTCGACACAAACTAGGTCATTTCGGGACTAACATATGGTTTTTAATTTTATTTACATAATTCGCTTGCGCGTAGGGGTCTTTAGCAGTGGGAGGAAACCGGAGGCCCCGGAGAAAACCCACGAGGTTGGACAGGCGACCCTACTCCTTGCCACGTACAACCAGTGTCTTACAAGAACATTCTGCTATATTTTATGTCTGACAAGAACAGTCTTCTACATTTTATGTCTGACAAGAACAGCTTGCTATATTTTATGTCTTAAAAGAACAGTCTGCTATATTTTATGTCTTACAAGAACAGCTTGCTATATTTGATGTCTTACAAGCACAGACTGCTATATTTTATGTCTTACAAGAACGACTTGCTAAATTTTATGTATTAAAAGAGCAGTGCATCAAACATAATTTGATATTGTTTGTTCAAACTAAAGGTCATCTAATGCAAGCAGAAAACTTATTGTCCACTAAAAGTATGGTACATGTATTTCTTATCATCTATTTACTCAGATTGAAAGTGATTAATATATTTTTACAAAAAACACAGAAATCTTTAATTCTTAACCTAAAGTTGGGCTAAATGATGGCTTGGTTTGCCCATATCAGTGGTGCAGGATGGAGAGCCTGGCAAGGAAAAGTATGTAGTTGTTTGGATGAGACGAAAAACTGAGGTTTCATGCAAACATTGGAATTGCACGTTTGGAATTCAAAGTTTGAGTTCATAATAAGAGTAGGCTCTAGTGCTGCTGTCCAGGCAAGATTTCCCTCACAGCATTTACTGCATGGCCTGCGGGCTATCTTCACTAACACACATGGAGCATAAAAGTAGGATGTTAAACCCCATTTTATTTCATTTCATTTCATCTTTAAGTACTCTATACTACTATGCCTCTCTTAATGAATCTCTAATTAAAACTGGTGATCTATTACTTTTTGTAATCTTGAAAGACGAAGCCAAGATGGTTCTGGTGGCCAAGGAATGGAAAACCATTTGTGTTAATTTAGAAATTATTAGTAAATGTGGGGGGGAAAAAGGTGATTATTCACTTCAAAGATCTGTTTTTTTTCTGGCCATTATTTCTTTGATTTGTTCACATTACAAGACAAATCAATGGCCGAATGATAACACGCTTAGAACAAACTTGTCAATGACTTGAGGCCGCAATTTTATGAGCGCTCATCACAAGATTAAAGGAAGCTAACTACTACCTAGTCGGTGGAGATCAATTTGTTAATATTTTTTCCAATTACCGGAATACTTCACTCAAAGGAATTCCTTCTTTAACTCTCCCAGTCTGTTGTTAACTACACTGCTGTGTTCTGGCACATAACTTGCGTTGTTACTCAATTTTCACCTGATTTATTTAATTTCTTGATTTTAAAAATAACTATCAAGATTGGTGAATTATTACACAGTATTGTATTATCAGACATATTTAAACAGAGTGTATCAGTTTTAATAAGAGTGAGGTTGGGTGGCAGAGTAGTCAAACTTCTCATCTTTAGGTCATATGGACTCGTATATGAACAGAGACAATGGTTTTATGTAAAGGAACCACATCTACAATCGTTTAACATCCACTCGACACAAACTAGGTCATTTCGGGACTAACATATGGTTCAATTTTACTCCAATAATTTGCTTACGCATAGGACCTGGAGAAAACCCTACTCTTTGTCACGTACAACAGGGGATTCGAAACCACACCAGTTTGCTCAGTGACAGACCTTATGATACAGTGCGCACATACTAACCATTCGCTCATCCAACCTCCCCCCCCCCCCCCCCGCATTAAAATAGTAAAGATGATTAAACAATATTGGATAATTCTGTAATGTCACGTTGGACAACCATGAATATCTTTCATTAGTAGAAGTATTTGCTATGTGTTTTTGTACTATTGTAATTTTGACTTTTGAACTTTTTTTTAAAATAGTTAACTCGTTAATTTTTAACTAGTTAACCAGTTAAGCCCAAATTTTGACTCCGCCAACCCGGACTCCTACGATGGCAAAGCCATATATACCATATGTTAGTCCCAAAATGGCCTGGGTTGTGTTTTGTGGATGTTAGATCCCCTGATACCCCCATAAAGTATTTTACACCAATATTAGGTAAACACAATCAACAAAGACCTCCAAGAGGATAATGTCTCTTTAATGATGATACAATCAACAAAATTTCTCATTTCTTACATAAACTAAATATATCAGATTTACATACATTGTTTGTTTCAGAAAAGTTTAAATGAGAAAGGGAAAGAGATGCTTATCAGTAAGAAGTAGGGCCAAAACATCACTTTGATGTAACACTAGGTTGGGTTTTTTTTTTCAGATACAGTATGGAGGACTTCCACCATAATCTTAAAGCATTTAATTAGATACCACAATTATAGAGTCTGTTTCCATAGAATTTAGATTACATCAACTACAAATAAGTTAGTGAACAATTCCTTTGTGATGGTAACATGTCCTCTCCATGTAGTTTTCATTGAATAACTGATTGATAAAGATTTTTTCTTCAATATATCAATCATCAACATTTATATTGACCTGTCACCGGATTGATATTGACGTTATGATTGATAGGTAGTATATCCCGATCTATTTCATATTGTCATCTAGCACGCTCCTTCAATTGTATTGCCGCAGGTTTAAAGCAAACTTATTCATGGCGATTTATATTCTCAGGTCTCGTACAAAAGATGAATTAATGTAAATCTTTCACTATTTTCTCTTAATATTTTCATGTCGGCCTAAGGGGACATTTATCTAAAAATTTCTCTTATTGTTTCCAACCTGTCTTCAGCTTCCCAAATCGAAGTGATTAGCAAAAATATAATAATATTATTTCTTTAGACAATTAATGACAATAGTTTTCTATTTGTTAATAGATTTTTTATTAATGAACGTGTTCAAACTCTTCTAAAGAATGGTAAAAATAAACTCTATTCCAATTTATGTCTTTTAATCAAATTTTCTTGTTAATTTAAACATCTATTGAAGTTCCATCCATTATCAAAATTAAACCATTATCATTCACGAACCTAACTTTTCACAAAGCAGACGGGCAAGCGATATAAAAGTAAAATACAAAACAATGTAATTGTTTAATATAAATACGACAATAAAAAGTATATTATTTGCCGAGGGACACGGACATTGTGCTTGGTACATGCAGCCAGATTCAAAACAACAATAATCAATTAAGCTTAAAACTTGTGGTGATGGAAAATAAAACTGCAACAGATTAGAAATATCATTGTTTAAGTATTACCTAGACATTAATAATAAAAAATGAAAATATTTTTTTTTTGAAATTGGAAATAAAATAATTCTTCAAAATAATCGGTTAAGAATAAACACAAATATTGGAGTATCTCAAATTCAGTTATTTTTGCCAAGTGTGCGGAAGTACAACAAATATTGTATTGTTTGCACTGAAAAGAAAATTTTTAAAGAGAAAAACTTCCAAAGCTTAAGAATTTTAATTAATTAACATTCGTCTAGATTTTAATTCCGTGATAATTTTTCAAATGGAATCTCGACTGAAAAGTTCACTGTGAATATATACAGGGACAGTCTGATCTATTTTCTTTTGTTTAAGTTCAGATCTGATGTGTTGAATTCCTTGTCATCCCTCCAGAATCGAGTCAGAGAATTAACTTACATTTAAATAAGTCTTTTATTTGTTCTACGTATTAAGCATCTTCTTAAAACAACTTTCAGATCATCATAAGGAAGGAAATGGAATACAGTTTAACATCGCTTAAAGATATCAAGTCAGCCCGTGCTTATACCTAAACTGTTTGAAAATTGCTGTTTTTTTTTTTAAAAATCTGATTAAAATACAGATCTATATCTCGTTTCATTTTTTATACTTTCGATAGCCTCTACTACATGAAGATCTGACCAGTTGTAGTGGAGGGTGGCATCAGGGGTCATACGACCGGCTTTTGACCCTATGACGTCAGACATTTGATTAACTAATCAGCATTGATGTTTCTAGTGGGTTACCCACAGTTCTGTGCATCGACACCAAGAACTCGCTGCAACAGACCATTTCATTGGCTAATCCCTCACATCAAACATAACGCAGGTTACATAACAATCTTCCAGTTGCTCGGCCCTAAGGTAGAGTATTTTAAGGGCTTTTAACAGAAAATTAAGCAGTTTCATTCTCCAAAATATAATCGAGATTGGCCCTTTAACGATCTGTGTTTTATTTAAACTGGTAATGGGCTGCATGTAAGCCTATCTGAAGAACATTCAATAGTTTCAAAGCGATTGCAAATATCAGACGTCCTCTTTAAAATCGATCTTGATGCGAACAAAACTTACCAGTCAACAGTTTCAGTTGACAACAATAAATGATATGAAATGAATTGGGGTTTATTTTTATAACTATAGTGAATGGTGTCATGCACTAGGTATAGTAAGCTTAACACATAAATGAAATGAATTAAATGAAATGGGGTTTAACGTCCTACTGTTCTGCTCCGACTGGGCTAATGAAGAAGGGCATATGCCATACAGGGTGCTATGAGGAAAAATTTGACTGGGCAGTGGCTCTATGGCCTACTCTTATATCGAATTCCAACTGCCAAGTGATCTTTTACATGCATGCCAATGTATACACGAGACCTCGGTTTTTCATCCCATCCGAACAACTAGATGGCAACAGTAAACACAAACAATGTGGATATATTTTAGCCTAAATGATAAACTCACCATAGAGTCTTGGATCAAACTGGTAATCACTGCCATCTAGACGACTTTTCTTCAGTTTTTCTATTGTTTCTGGACTCGCATGTATTGATGGGCTTCTTTTGGGTGGTCGGCCAGGTCTGGCACTGAAGGGAAAAAAAGGAAAGCAATTAGCAATTATGAAACAACGCTTTCTGTGTTAAAATTTTAATAAACTCTCAAAGAGATGTATGCCCTCATCAAAAGTTATAATAATATACTAAAATTTGAAAGAACTGGTCAAAGCAAGCTTCAGTTATGAATGAAAACCAACTTCAGTTATGAATGAAAACCAATTCTTGCTAACGAATGGACAGACGGACACCTATGTAACAACGCCCTTTTGCACTAGAGATTAAATATGTAATTGGTATTAGATACTCTCTTCAATCTCATTAAAATACTTTTATACTTCTTTTTTTTTTACTTTGGATGGTCTCCACTACATGAAAATCTGACAAGCTGTAGTGGAAGGTCATGTCGGGTGCCATACGAGCGACTTTTGACCTTATGGCATCAGACATTGATTAATCAATCAGCGTTGACGTTTTTAGTGGTTTACCCAAAGTTCTGTGTACCTCATGCCAAAAATCTGCTGTAACAGACCGTTTCATTGGCTAATCCCTCACATCACCAGAACGTGGGTTATATAACAACTCTTCCAGATTCTAGTGTAGTAAATTTTGAACTATAAAAAAAACGAAACGAAATAGGATTCGTGTTTTAATCAGATTCATGCTCTCTTATACCCGCTCGAACCTATAAACCTAACCTCCAGAGTGGTATTAGCCCATAATGTCCGTATTAAGATTATCAAGTTGCTTTTGACCTGGGCAGTGGTTATTACAGGGTAATTTTCACAGACCTACATCGTTCGTTCATTCCTTTAGTTTTACGTCCACTTCCAGCAATGTGATATCGTAGACGGACCTACAGACCTACATCAACCATTGTTTTAACGGAGTACAGCTTAGACTTGCTATTGAAAAGAGATTTCTGACCAGCTTAAAGATATAACATTAAAGAGACAATGCCACACATTTTAAAGGGGTAATATCATATATACAATAAATACAAATATACACTACCACATATAACATAGGTAACCAAAATTAAAATAAACTTCAAATCTCAAAACCGGTTTTAAAAATAATTATTTACGAAAAATATATTTTATAAGAGAAAGTAACGAAAGAAGGTTGCCTTGGCTCTCAAGTCGTTGGGTACAAATACTGCATATGATTAAAACCCCATTGAATTATCCCCCTTGGCACAATAAATCTATTCTTCTGAATAAAAAGGTACATTTGAGTATATGACAATTCCCCTTTTCATCATTCAAAACAACGGTGAAAAAAAAATTTATTCAACAAACTGACAAGGTAAAAGAAGAAAAAAAAACAAAAATTGAATTGAGCTTTGTAAATATCATAAAATGTATAAAAACACAAGGTCAAGGGGATCACACCTAAAAATTACCTTGGTCAAGAACACGACAAAATATGGAATGTAGAAAAGTATACCCTCCGGCAACATACCGAGTTATTTGTAAACCACTTTCCTTCAAATCAAGAAACTTCTTCAACCAATTTTTATTCAATTATAAGAACAATATCATAAAAGGAATTCTTACTTTCAGTAATTTTTTTAGATCAGTGCTACATAATAATTTCAGTGAATGAAACTCATATGAAAGGGTTGTCATTTATCAAAAATATGCTTTGAGTCCCTTATTCCCATTTTCGTCACCAGATCTTTTAAATGAATGCCTTTTCTAACTTTCTTTCACACTTCTACAAGTGTACATCAATACGGGGCAGTATAATTACAGTATCTTTCTCTCCCTAAAAAATTCTTCAAACTTTTTCAATAATACATCAAGTCCGACATAAGTGAATCTTAAGACTACTTGAATACAAAATAAACACAAAAGTAATATTTCTCAAGGACTGTTTTACGTTTCTAAATATCCTTTCGGCATCTGCCTTGTATTTGCTTAAGCAACAACACATTGAAAGTCCAGCAGATTGGCAAATTTTGCGTGAACAAACTTTTCTTTGTAAACATTTACATTTAAAAGAATTACAGGTGTTCTTCGTTGTGTTAGGCCTTTAACAATCTTTATTGAATAACTATGTTACACTTCGTACCTTTCTCGTTTTTTTTTTCAATCGTTCCCAAAATTCATGAACTCCTTCAAAGTAATGTTTTGATTTGTTTTTCTCTATTATAACATGAAAACCGAGGCATTATTATCTCAATGGCGGATAAAGCTAATAAAATCGGCAAATTCAATTTTACCGACTGAAACGGGTTAGTTTGGGGGGCAGGTGAAGATAGAGAAAATACAAAAAAAACAAACATTAATCCAACAAAAACTGAATGAATCGCCAAAAGGAAAAAGTGGCACAATAACTTTGTCCTGTTCAATTTTAATTGAATTCTCTCCCTTCTTGCATAAATTACTACGACTTGTCAGTCGTCTGCACACAGGCCACTGGGTTCAGACAAGCAACAAAAATTGACAGTTGCCATTTCTCGGATTTGTCATGTAGTTTCAACAAGGTACTATTTTCTTTGTGTGTAGTAACACACATCAAAAGAAAAGGAGAGTTTAGGTTGTTAGTTAACAAAGGTTTATTTGTCAATCATTATCCTCCTTTCATTTATTGGTTGGTGGTGTAGAACCAGTTTAACGGGCAATAATAATGTTGTCCTTACGGTACAATGGTGTAAAATTAGCCAGGGTGGTCCATTAGTTATTCTCAATACGCCCTTTCTTATTGCTTCTTTTTCCTTTTAATTGTTCTTTTGTTGGAGTACAGGCCTGAGATTATTATTGCAACAATGTGACATAAATGGACAAAACCTGTATGCAAATTACAATTGTTGGGGGAAACATGGAGATAAATGGAAAAGACATCTAGGTATTGGCTGAACATATGGTTTTTATTACAGTCAGCTTTTCACCCAGACAAATTTAAATTAATAAGAAAAATAAACACTAAATATTTTGAAAAATGGTGTCATGGAGCATGGTTTCATTTATATTCTCCTTTTCTTAAGTGACACTCACTTTCATGGGAGGAAACAACCAAATCAGATTACTTTGCATATATAAGCTGCAGGAACCGAATCAAGAAATACAGTCATTTAAAATTTGTTTTTCTATCTATCCACTGCATTTAAAAGTTTAATTCAAATTTTTTCAACTTTAAAAATTTTAATATATCCGTTCATAAATTCTTAACATATATAAAATTTTACAATATTTTCTCTTTATGGGAATTATAATCTATTTCTTATTCTTTTCAATTTAATCTGAATACAATTGTCACAAATGATATATGTATTTTAAATACTGCCATGCTATTTACTCATAAAGCAAAAGGTCCGAGACAGACCCCCCATTTTGACATTTCCCATCTATCCTCTTTGTGATTTATCAATGTGATGTTAATCATATAGAAATAAAAATAGAAATAAATAACTAGCATAAAATAAAACATGATATCCTGATTGGCCAAAAATCACAAGTTCTTGTCATACTAAAATACCCAAATGGTCTTTTCTTATTTAATTTATTTCAAGCATATCTGATAATGGATGTCTAAGAAAAGAATGACTGTTTGATACGTTAATGCCAACTTTTGTGTTTGCTCAAACAAACATCTTAAACAAAATGAAAATTGACTTTAACGTGTGAAAGGCTGGAGAGAATTAAATTTCCGAGGACAATCATATCAGAAAAAATCAAGATGCTTTTTATTTCCCCCAAAATGTAACTTTATCTGTCTGAAATAAAACACATAATTTAAATTTGGAACTATATATCTGCGTTCGTTTTATTGGCTCTCACACAATTTGAGTAACTTGGAATTGATCAACAGCATCTTTTATCACTTGTACCTTCGGGAGGAACAAAAACTTGTTCATGGTCCACTTGTTTCATGTATCATATTACGCTCATCAAGGTTTTCATTTCCCTTTATTTTATTGAATACCATTTTAATAATTCACAACTGAATCTACAGTTTTGTTTCGCATGGCTTGCTCGATCATTGTTCACCCAGCAATTCATATTCAATGATTTTATGATTTCCAACAAAAAATACACCATGAAACTGTCAGGCCTTAATCGTCTGTAGGCTTGAAAAATTGTAGCATATTATAAGCAACAAAGAATTGAATAAATTGTCTAACATATTCGGTTGTTTTTCTTTCACATGTTCTATGATATTTTCAACCCAACACGAAAAACAAATATAAAAGGTTATGAATAAGATGGAAAGGAAGGAAATATTCTTTGAGCTAATTTTGTAAGTTATTGCTTCTGGATGATTTTCAGGTATTGAAGACTAAAAGAAACGAGACCAGACCGTCCACCTGATCCCTCATTTTAAATTTCTTTTACGGAATGTAATTCTCTAAAATTTCAATAAGGCTGATTCTAAAAACGTTTTTATCAAATCGTTCCTACTTACTGAAAATATTTCAATAAAATATGGAAAAGTACCATAACATATTAGATTTGTCATGTAGATAATAGGCCACTCGTGGGTGTTGGAATAAAATCATCATTTCCTAGGCCTTAAACAGAATGACTTATCTCAAACCTCAAGGATAGAAAACAAACCTATCCCTTGTTCAAACTTTAATATCTCAATTTCTAAATGACAAAACATTTGTAATGGACATTGAAACAGATATAAGCAGATATTAATATTGACATTAGAAACATGAAATATAATATGTCTCCCCAATAAAATACAATTTCATTTCTATTAAATATTTTATGTATTTGTTAGGAATTCTTATTTGATAATAAGTGGTATTAATGTTTCATAAATCACGTGCTTAAAAATAAAGCTGAGGTTCTAAAAAGCTATTCAAATCTCTTTCTTTTTTAATATCTACATTTATTACTCGCGAACAGGAAAAACATTAAAATCTTTCATAACAATAAAAAACATTTAGAGATTTAATGCTATTTAATGTCTTGAAATCCTGATCAGAAGGAGATGTTCAAAGATGATAATAAGATACAATGTATTGTCATAAAAGATAATGGAAATAGAAATTGAATTTTTTAAAGAGGTGTAAGCAT